AGACAATTTTAACATTCCACATGTGTGGGACAAATTATGATACTACTACCTGTTAGTATTTTCAACAGTCTAGATCCCTTTTCCAAAATCCCTGGGCTCCAGGTACATTAAACTCTCTAAAGATGTATGTGTTGCAGCCAAATGTTTAAATATATGTGGGTGCCTTAAGCAAGTATCTGTAAGCATCCAACAGAATTTAAAATATGCTTCCTTCTGTTGCTTCCAACAAAGTGAATTTTTCATCCTTTTGTTGTAGAAATTACTCAAAAATCAAAACCTAGGAATATTTTGGAAATTGAGCTTATGCTTTAGTTTCATAGACTCTTTTGAAAACCCGTGCTCTATTTAAAAATCCCCATTGTGTGGAAAAAAAAACCCCACCATGCATATCACTGAGATGATTAGTGTTACAGTTCACAGAATGTACATAAGAGTTCTGAATTTTTTTCCCATACTGAAGAATCCAGCATCTGAAGAAAACAAAGGGGCTGTGTGAGGCTATAAGATTATCTTCAAAATAATTTTCTTCCTTTGTTGAAAACAAATGTTTGCCCCTTCTCTTCCCACCCCTGCCCCCTATCCCCCTCCCATTTCTTAAATTACAGTGAGTTTTCTTGTCTTGGCTGATTATTTTTTGAGGGGGAGTTGCTCTAGTTTCTGAAACTCTACCTCTGAAAACTCTTTTGCCTTGCCTATTACAATTAAGCTATTGTTTTGCTTAGGAAAGTGGTCTGACTTAATTCAGGTTTGTGCCTCAGAGTAAACCGAAATGATTAATAGCTCTGTGTGTGCTTAATGATGTGAGCCCTGCAGCCAGTAAAGCACCTGTCTCAGTGTGTAAGCAGCCAGGGTTCACTATTGTGCGTGGCTGGAGATTCACATAACAAAAAAGGCAATTAGACAATGTTAGGGATTTCAAGCAAACTAACAATGCAGGGAAATTGCCAGGGAAGGATTAGTTATCTCGTGCCTGATAGAAGCAGGTATCAATGGAACACTCGTAAATTGTTCTTCAGTAGTGGCTCCATATGGAAAGTCTAATGAAGACTGCCAGGGTTAAGCTCTGAAAACAAAGACCTGGAAAGTTGAAAGTGTGCTTAAATTAGCATTTCTGATACCCTTTCAGATCACTCCTAAACCCGCAAGTTGCTTCTAGTTTGGGCTGTGACTGTAATGGTAACCTGTTGTGTCCAAATCACTCCATGATTTTAGCATCATCTTTGTGGATTGAAAATTACTCCAAAAGGATGTTCTGCATTGTTTGGGTCTTGAAAGAGTTGCGTTAATAGTATTGCCTCATCGTGGGTCTCAGAAGTTGTATATGCTCTTTTTTGTGTCTGTTCTGTGAGACATTGAGCATGCCTTCTAACTTGTGCTGGTCTTTCTGGCCGGACAGCTTCTCTGTGTCTGCAGTAATTGGTTTTGAAGTTTGCTCCATCAGCTGCTTCGTAGTACAGCTTTGTGTGTTGGTTGGTTATTTTGATCAGTTGTGAGAGCGATGGGCTGGCTGGCTGATTGCTGAGGTGTTCCTCCTGGCTGGGTGACAGGCTTGCTGCCTGACCTCAGCCAACTGGCTTTAACTCTGCTGGGGGATAGTGGCTAGTATTTTCCAAGGCCTCTAGGTGATTTAGGAGCCCACAACTCACCCTGAAGGGGGTTGATGCATTTGGAAAATGTTACCCTATTAAATTCACCCCAAATGGATATAGCATCGGCTAATTTATGTTTGTAAGACAGCTTGGGGTCTTGGATTCCTGTGATGTGAGTATCTTGCACTTTCCTCTTTGTACAGAGGCAAACAAGATCCATTCCTGTGGTTGTTTCATCAGACAGTCAGGCTGTACTGAATCTACATCTGCTGATAAGAAAGCAACTTCTAGATAAATCATACAGGCATGTCTCTGAAGCCCAGAAATAAGAACTTCTGGCTCCAACAACAAAATCCTGGGCTGCTTGACTGAAGGAAGGCCGCCCACTGCTCTGGTAGCAATCAATCCATCGCCGTTCCTCTGGCGTTGCCAACTGTGGGCACATCACAAGGGCTCGCAGGGCTTTGGTGAGGATGGCAGCTGGCTGTAGAAGCAACAAAAGTGGGGCTGCCCTACCGGCATAAGGGTCACTCATTCCCCAAGTAGGCACCTGGGGGACATTGAGATGGTCAGTTCTTGTGTCATGGTGGCTCTGCTCTTGGCTGATGTCCTTGATGGCTGAGAGAGGTAGTGAGGGAAGGCGTGCTTTATCTGTGTGTTCTTCATACTCGCTATATTCTTTAAATAACCTTACATTCTCCTGCTACAGAATAGAAATAGTGGCCATGCCTGAGGCGACCAGCATGTGTCTGCGGTGCTCCTTGTGGCATCTAACCGCCCTCCTGTCCTCGCAGAAAATCATTAATTAAATTTAAATGCCTCTCACTGAATTTCCCGCATGGGTCTTTTTATGTCTTAAGCTGGTCATTAGGATTTTTGTGGCTTGTGTGTAGTTATACTGCATGAGTTCTTTAATAAACCATACCAAGGGCGAAAGTCTCTGTATGAGAGGGGCGAGAGAGGGGCTGAGTGGCTTCTCTGTGGGTGACTGAAGTGAATGAGAAGTGAGGGAGAAAGGAAAGGATTAAGAAGTAATTAAAGGATAGAGAGAACGATAAATGAGGAAGAAAGGAAAAGACTGTGAGGAATATTGCTGATGGGTTTTAAATTTGAATTTGGGCAGTCATTTTTTTTGACACACCGAGGGGGGAAAAAAGTTGTTGGAGGGAGCCTTGGTTGCTATTATGCTTTCAAATTATAATCAAAGTGCTGCCTTGATTACACACCATTCTGATTGCTGTGGTCTAGTGATTAGAGCATGAAACGTGGAGACGAAAAATATGCTGCTTTTCATGACTGTAAAGGACTTGCTGGGTGGTTTTGAATGAGTTATTTCACTTCACTATGCCTCATTTTCCTGATCTGCAAAATAGGGATATTAATGCCTATTTTTGTGAAGGCAGTCTGAGAAACTTAAATGGAAACTTCTGTATAAATGTCAAGTATCATTATTATTGTTCTTAAACTAATCCATTGTAGTCAACTGCTTTTATAGTTTTTTATGAAAGCAAATACAATGGGAGCCACATAATTGGCTGCCTAACAATGTTGTTTTAATTAGAAGAAGACAAAAAGTGTCTGAAAAATGCAACAGTGGGTTGCCTTTTTCATCAACTGCAAAAAAAATATTCTGCTAGAACTGAACCATACCATACCAGGTAATAAAGTTACTCTGAAGTATGTGTGACACACTGATCAAAAGTAACAGGCTCAGTTAATTTTTGGTACGTTTGGTTCACTGTTTGCCTGGCACAGTCGAAGATTTTCAGTTATTGTTGAGCAAGTAAGAATAAGTATAACAATGTGAAAAATGTATGTGTTTACTTCTTTGCCAGCATCTGAGAGATGAAGTTTCCTCAGGCTGTTATTTTAGAATCCTAATTTTCCGTTGAATACTTTTTAATGTCTGGCTTGTACACCACTGGAAACAGATAATCCTTCTCCCTGGTGAGGTGGATATGACCCACCTTTTAATATGATGCTGTTAGAAAAAGGTGATGGAACTAAACTGGAAAAATGTGAGTCTCGTTACTCTTCACATTTGCCTAAATCCTGATTATCTGAAAGGTAATCCTGCCCCTGCCAATCCACCCTGAGGGTGGATAGTCCCAGTGGTTCAGGCCAGGGGTACATGCAGAAGGCTTTGTCAGTAGGGGTATGCTGTACGGCAGGATGCTCTTAATCCAGGACTCAGATTATACTAGTAAAATTGAATGTTTGCCAGTCTACTTTCTTCTTTTTTTCCAGAATCTATCCTGATTGGAACAGGATTTTGCTGGGGTAACAGTGTCTATTTTGTGATGGAGCAAGGGGAATGTTTGGAGGTTTTTTTAAGACGGAGTGATGTGAGTCATTGGTACTGTGTCTTCATACATCTAAGTCATTTGGCAAAAATTTATTCTGTAGTCTTGGCCTTAACATGACCCCAGAGCGAGTAACTTGTGACCTGTCTGTCCTCATCAGCGTCAGTGCTGCTGCCTTCTAGAGCAGCCCAATTAAGATAATTTTATGGTTGCTGTAGGAGGACCTAGTATCTGTAAGGCAGGCTGAGTGGAGCAGTCCTGGCTGTTCATTTTTGGTCCCCAGAGACTGCACTGCAACGACTGCCTCTTCAAAGTGCTTTCCTCCACCAAGCAGCACAAGCCCATTTTCTGCAGTTCATCTTCAGCCAACTCCTCTTTATCTGTGAGCAAATTTGCTCTAAAACCAAGGCTGTTTCGGGACAGCTATTACATTATATGCTGAGCGAGGTGGGTAGAGCGATGCGACATCTGGATGCTGATAGCTCTATAAAATGATGGACATAGTGCTGGGACTAAAATAATTACACCATAGCATGAAAATCTCAGATCTGTTTCCTGGGAAGCCAGGACCATTCTGAAGTTTTAGTGGCATTAAAAAGCCAGTTTGGAATGGGGCTTTTTGTTTGGTTGTTGTTCATTATTATTATTTATTATTTTGAGGATATTTGTGAGGACTGATTTTTTTTTTTTTATTATTTTTTTTTGCTTATTGAGAGTCCTACTGTTGTGAGTCCATTAAGACTGTGAGAGGGCAAATAATTATTTATCTAGGACAAATTTAACATGTTGGATCTTAAGAATGTATCTTTTTTTTTTTTATCCTGATGTTGGAAAAAACATCACACTAACCATATGATATTAATATGATTTTTTTTTACTTAAAAAAATAATCTAGTGTTGGACTTGCATTCGGTCTGTGAATGGTTAGCATAAAATGTTGTCCTTGGGAATATTGGACTGTTCATCCTCTCAGTGAAGCTAAGAGGAATGTTTTATGTGTGACAGCACTGGGAAGCAAGATTCTTTTTCAGGATGAATACAGTAAGATTCTAGCATGTAATACTCTTCATCAGAAAACATTTGTAAGAAAAATGCTGAAAACCATTCCTCTAGTTACACTATTAGGTAGGTTTTATTTTCTTTCTCGGTAAGAATAGTGAGTGTACATACACACAAAACATGCCTTGCTCTACCATTATTCTGAATTGCTAGTTGCAAATGAGACTTTTCTGTCTACTTTTGCACTCCTCAGATGTCTTTTTCAACTGTAAGAAATGGATAAATGGATTTGATATTTAAACAAATGGTCTCACTGCAATTCCACATCAGCAAAAAGCAGAGTCTTCTGAGATGAGATGAAAATGCAGGCAGTCGAACAAAGGAGCCACAGAAAACTTCGTCTTGAAAAGCTCAACAGACACATGTTAAAGTGAGTTGACTGAACCTCCGTCCCATGTCTTGTGGGCTCATCTTTGGGGAAGTGAGGTCCACTATGTTTTTTCTCATTGCAGCACTAGTTGCTTCCTTGTACTTCTCTGCTGGCCACGTGGGGTGGAAGGCCAAATTTTGCTTTGCCGTGACAAAGCCCAGTTGGACAGCTTTCTCCCAGTTCTCCCAAAACAGATTAAAGTGAATACAGACCAAGACAATGGGTAAACTATGATGTAAAGTTTATATACAAGAATATAACATTTATCTGGAGTATTTACAAGGTTAATTAAAGCAATATTTTACAACTCTTTCAGGTTAACCACTAGGTATATTACAGCTATAGGTGGTTTAATTTGCAAAATAACAAAAAAATTGCATTCAGATCAACCAGCTCCAAAACTTGTTCCATTTTTTTCTGCAAGAGAAGGGCTCAGACTTGTGGAAAATAAAATGTGAGAGTGGTTAATATGCTCTTACTGGTGCCTATGTATCACATGCAAGAGTCGTAACATGACCTTTATAGCGTTTAATATAGATGGCAAGCCATTTCACCTTGGTGAAAGAGTCGTACCCACTGTGACAGGCCAGTCGCACGCGTGGCTGTCTTTCTCTGCATCTCCTACTTTTTGCACAACAAACATGCATGTATACAGAGAAGCAGCAATATAAATGAACCAGCATTACCAAAATGAAGAGGGAAAAACCTCAGACCAAAGTCACGTTTGCAACCATAAAAAAAAAAAAAAAGAAGCTTTACGCGAGATACTTTAATACTTCCCAAAAATAGTCATGATTTTTTGTTTTTTTATTACATTTTAACCTATGTACAAAAACGGAGGGCTCCCTCCCCTCTCGGACGTGCCCGTGGCATCTCGAGGCTCAGAGGGGCCGAAGCAAGAAGGTGCAGGAGGCCCGGAGAGCTCGGGACAGAGGCGGCTGCTGGAGGTGGCCAGAGCCGAAGCCACTAACACTGCAGTTTGCGGATGCTGCGGGAGAACCGCTTGAAAGCCCGCTGCCCTTTCTGCCACCGCTTCAGAGAGGTGATCACCAGTTCCCCAGCTTGCTTTTGCCCCATCACCAAGTAGGGGACGTTGATGTCGTTCATCTCGTCGCAGGTACACTGGAGGCCACCTTTGAGCCAGAGCACGATCTTCCTCAGATCCCTTTCCGTGAGCCCATTCAGCTTGTAGATGGTCTTGCTCTTTGTTTCGGGGGTGATCTTGGTATCCCCATTGATGTAGGCAATCTCCTTCACTTTTATCTTCAAGGCTAATAGAGCGAGGGGGGGGGGGAGGGGG